CTTGTAATCTATTCGCGAACACATCTTCCGTTCCAGGCCAGTGGCTCAAGACTCTCTGCTTCCAGCCCGTCAATGATTCCTTACACTGAACAACATAGACGTTGGTACATGTACCAGTGCTCAACGTGAGCGATTCTCAGCCCTCCCGCATGGACAAGTTACGCACATCTAAGAAGCACACATCATGAAGACTGCTGAGGAGCAACTGACGCTCAATGTTGTCGCCGGTCTATTAATCAGTACGATGTCGTCAACAAGATTTGCTCCCAAAACTGAGGTTCTTAGCTGGTGTGCGCAAACACCGAAATCCATACAATATGTATTGTATTACAATCTTATGACGGTATCACCTCCGACCGATAGTCGGACATTCCTGAACAGCTCACGTCATCATCAATCCTTAGCGTGATTCATCCGAATCGCGTTGATCCCTGTCGAAGCCGCTGGGGCAGCTACACAAGTACTGATGTAGAAACACACTCATCTTGCCCTATATGTAACGTAGTGTGAGATATAGCACGCTTTCCTTTCTCTCCCGATGATGCCCACATGTATACCATACCGAAGCAGGTATGGAACAGTGGGTGGGATTTGTGTAGGCGAAGGACAAACTGAGTCACGGAGACTGGTGTCCGAGACCGCTGCGTCGAATAGCTCCGATGCAAATTGTTGCAAAGAGCATAATTCTGTTTTTTGCCCCCGAAAATAACGCAGTAGGGTTCCTCAAACCTCGAAAAATGTGAAGAGGATTGTAGTATTGGGGACACTGAAATTAGTCGTAGCTCGAAAAACTTGCAGACCGTGCACCATATCCAGAGAAAAGTTTGATAATTATTAGCAACAATGATAGGTATGAGATACCAAAATTTGGGAGGAATCGGTTGGGTGACAAAAGAAATTTTGGGCGAAAAACCGCTAAGCCGAACACTTGCAAGCGCTACCGCATATTAGTGCCCCGTACGAGCGTACCAAACTAAATACGTCGTCTTAATAAATATTTAGGTGACAATATCAAACGCCGGCTGCTCCACAGAAGGCTCTATGATTGTACGTGCCTTACTGAAAGCTGCGCATTTTTCTCGATAGAGACTGTACTTATTGAGGACTAGTATATGAAGTTCGGCTCGGTGAGAGGCATCTGAAGCCTGTGCACTGTTCCAAGTAATGAGCAGAACGATTTCGAGACACGCTAACACATTTTCAGTTTTCACGGGTGGATAAGGTGGTGTTTAATTCAGCACTGGCTGATTTGATAGGACATATAACTGATAAAATTTTTTGGTGGGTGTGTTCACATTTTATAGATAGATAGTATGGATGATAGTATGGATGCTTTGAAGCTCTTGCATCAAAGTCATCCATACTATCATCCATACTATCTCCAGCAGAAGACTCCTGTGCC